AGGGCCTATAGAGTTTAAGGTTTAGGGTTTAGGGTTTAGGGCATATAGAGTTTAAGGTTTAGGGTTTAGGGTTTAGGGCTTATAGAGTTTAAGGTTTAGGGTTTAGGGTTTAGGGCTTATAGAGTTTAAGGTTTAGGGTTTAGGGTTCAGGGCTTATAGAGTTTAAGGCTTAGGGTTTAGGGTTTAGGGCCTATAGAGTTTAAGGTTTAGGGTTTAGGGTTTAGGGCATATAGAGTTTAAGGTTTAGGGTTTAGGGTTTAGGGCTTATAGAGTTTAAGGTTTAGGGTTTAGGGTTTAGGGCTTATAGAGTTTAAGGTTTAGGGTTTAGGGCTTATAGAGTTTAAGGATTAGGGTTTAGGGTTTAGGGCTTATAGAGTTTAAGGTTTAGGGTTTAGGGCTTATAGAGTTTAAGGTTTAAGGTTTAGGGTTTAGGGTCTAGGGTTTAGGGTGTAGGGTTTGTGTATTGTTTAGGGTTTAGGGTTTAGGGTGTAGGGCTTAGGGTTTAGGGTCTAGGGTTTAGGGTTTAGGGTGTAGGGTTTAGGGTTTAGGGTTTGGGGTGTAGGGTTCAAAGTGTAGGGTTTAGGGTGTAGGGTCTAGGGTTTAGGGTGTTCAGAAATCCGGATCTCGGGCTACTTGGAGCAATGGCGTGCAATGGCATCCCGGAACCAAACTCCCTACATCTGAGATACAGCCACCCTAAACCCGTAACCCTGGATCCTGCCTCGTTTAATGTAGGGGCATTAATGATTACCTATATTATTTTGGGGGCTCTTCATATTTATAACTATAGTGTAAAGGGCTCCCATACCCTATTCTATCTGTTAAGGCCCCTACATTAGACTAAACACTCGGCCCTCATTCAGCATCCCAGCCAGCAAGCAAGACACAGAGAACCAGCACAAACATTTAGGGTTTAGGGTTCAGTTAGGGTTTAGGGTAATCACGGTAGCAGTCATCACAATGAACCCGCAACATCAGCATCGCAGTCATCATGCACAAGCAGGATCAATGAAATGGAATGATCATCACAACAAATCAGTGTAAATTGCATAGCCTGCGCTGCGATCATTGAAGAGCATGCTCAAAAACAACCGAAGGCTGACTGTATGACTATGCCGACACTGTCATATATTGTGCTTAGGGGTGATGATGGCCCGAAAGACCCTGCAGGATATGCAGCGGCACAAGCTAATCAACCCATACCCCTAGCTTTGAAACCTACCGCAAACCCCGCAAGCCGCAAGCCGCAAGCCGCACACTAGCCCAAATCTACACCCTGAAACGAAAGCCCTCCCGAAGCAGCTGGGGAAGCCTTGTCGGCTCTCGAAACCTTCGCTTCTACATGCGTGGAGTTTCGCATGCAGTGGTTGCCTAAGGGCTCGAGTGTAGTTCCTTTCGTGGGCTCACTTGCAGGATCCTGACTGTAACTATGAAATTGGCTAAACCCCAAAACGAACTGCAATGGAGACTGTAGACCTTTATTGGACCCCAAACTGTAGACCTAAAACCCTGTAAGCTCTTCACTGACTCTTCGCCACTCTAAACCCGTAACCTGAAGGGGGTCGTGTTTGAGGTCCCGGGTTGCTTTTGCAGATTGATCCTGGGCTTCGGCTCGGTTTGGGGGCTTGGGGTGGAGCTCCCTGGGTCCCCATTATTTAGGGTTTAGGGGTTAGGGTTTGGGGTACCTGGACCTACCAAAACCTACTGATTTTTGTAGGGTCCTCACAAATACTATGCTTTACAAGGGTTGTAAGAAGAACCTGCAGAAAAGTAGGCTGTGGCAGTTTAAGATAGGATTTCGAACTCTTTATCCTAGTATTGTTATAGTAAACTATGTCCAAACACGCTGTTATGAATTATCAAGGCCCCTGCACCATGCCCCCTTTATCACCCTTTTGGTGACCCTAAACCCTAAACCCTAACCAAAGTGTGGGTTTCGGGCTGTAGGATTAAGGGCGTTAGGGTTGAGGGGTTTAAGCGCTGAACCCAATGAAGAGCCCTCTCACCCTGTCATGTATGACATGGATAGGTATAGGGGCTTAATGACTCGAAAGAGTTCCCCATGGTTTGGAGCCATTGACTACATGGGTAGTTGTCAAAATGATGGTCCTTTTTGGGGTACCCTAAATAATAGGTGCCGTATTATAACAAGGACCCAAAAAGGGATCATAATTTTGACAACCACCCACATGTAATCTCCAGTGTCGTGCCTTTTGTGGCACATGTTGCCTGGTTACCGGAGTGACTTTATGTAGGGGCCTCAAGAATTCGAACAGGGGTTTTGTGGCATATTATACTATAGTTGTACGAAGGAACCCCCATAATTATTTAGACCCACATACATGAAGGGGTTTGGGGCTGTTCAAACTGGTGTTTATGACTAGTTCATGCTCGGAGCTGTTGTTCTAGTACCTCGGTCCGGGACGATTCTTGCCGATGCCGAAACCCTAACCCGCAACCCCGACATACGGTTGATGGCATAAATTACCCATAATAAGGAGTATACCATACTTCCCCTAGTTTAGGGTCCTTAAAGTACTGCAGGATTTAGAGCATCAACAGTATTAGGGGCGCATGCACAGCTGGGTAGTTCTCTAAATTAGGGTCCCTTCTTAGGTCACCAATATAGCACGGCAGCCATATAGAAAAGGACCCTAACAGGGAAAACCCTAAACCCAAAACCCTAAACCCCAAACCCTAATCTAAAGAACCCTAAACCCTAAACCCTAAACCCTAAACCCTAAACCCCAAACCCTAATCTAAAGAACACTCACATGCTGAGCCTCATTCTGCAACCCGGAGCCTCTACGGGGGCCCAAAAGGGCAGGGTCTCTAAATCCATCGAAAGGCTACACCCGAAAGATTTCAGGGTTTAGGGTTTAGTGTTTAGGGTCTTTGGGGTTAAGGGTTTAGGGTCTTTAGAATTTAGGGTTTAGGGCTTAAGGCCTTTAGGGTGTAGAGTTTAGGGTTTAGGGAGGTGAACGACAGGGACCAAGCAAGACTATCTAGAATCTAAACCAGACCCTATGCGCGAGCTTCGGCTTGCAAACTAAGGTTGAACCTCCAAACCCTAAACCCCAAACTTTAGGGTTTAGGGGTTTAGGGGTTTAGGGTTTAGGGTTTAGGGTTCGGGGTTTAGGGTTTAGGCGTTTAGGGGTTAGGGTTCGGGGTTAGGGTTTAGGGGTTTAGGGCTTAGGGGGTTTGGGGTTTAGAGGTTTATGGGTTTACCCCCAACACCCTAGACCCTATCATCAAGGCTTCGAACCCTAAACCCTAAACCCTAAACCCTAAACCCTAAACCAGACCAAAGACTCCAAAATACTCGACTCAAGGACGGTGCACCTTGTCCAGGGATCCTGAAGATGACAACCCCGTTCAAGTAAACGGCTTAGGGTTTAGGGTTTAGGGTTTAAAACTTCAGGTATAATGTAGGAACCTGATTCAGAAACCTTGGGAATTTATGAGGATTCCTCATTTGGATCCCTAAAAGTTAGGGGGGTTACAGGGGCAGGGTTTCTTAATCAGGGTCCTACGTTATGGTCATGTTCCAGTCTACCTATAGTCTCCATGGTAGTTCCCTTTTTGGTTTAACCAATTCTATATTAAGGATCCTAAAAGGTAGCCCCAAAAAGGAACTCCAATGGAGACTTTAGGTAAGATACCGCAGCCCAATGCAAATTCTGATTCTCGGCTCCCCGCGCTCGCTGCATAGGCACCAGCCAGCTCGGCACAGATTTCGCTGCGGTAGCGCTGGACGCCGCCCATGGTCGTTGGGCAAAGCCTCGGGCAGTGATCCCACATATCTTGAACTCCCCTAGACCCCACCCCAAACCCTAAATTCAAGGAAACTACAAGTGGGGAGTTTAGGGTATATATAAGGCTTCTATAAGGCTTCTCTACGGTATATAGACCTTCTATAAGGCTCCTATAACGGTAACTACCCCTGAAAATGTCCTAGACTAAACCCAAACCCCTAAACCGCATCAACCCGCGCCCCGAAGCCCTCTACCGTCAAGTCGAAGAAACACCCCCTCAAGGACATCGAGTTTAGGGTTTTTTGGTTTGGGTTTAGGGTTTAGGGTTTAGGGTATCAGAAGGACATAGAGTATATCCAGACCGTGGGTTGTAGCATTCTGGTTACCATTCTTGTCTAGCAAGAGGGTCGTAGACATCAACAAGTGTTGGAACAGAAGCTGCCACAAATTTACCCTAAACCCTAAACCCCTAAATTTCAGTACCAATCAGGGTAGAAGCCTCCTCCTCACGTGTTCCGGGAGGCTTGGGGCATAATTGAGGGTCAACCTCAGGAAGCCGTTTAGGGTTTAGGGTTTAGGGCCCAAACAAGGATTGATCGAAGCCGTACCCAAAGGCTCCATGTACCCATATAGTACATACTTAGGCCTTAAAGAAGTTCCCAGACAGGTACTTGAAGGCCTGTGCACATGCTATAATAGGCACATGGAGCCTTAGGGTTATAACTATAATTTGGGAACCCTCAGAAAAAGATCTTCCCAAATCTTCCCAAGAATCTGAGCCCCGAGACCCTAAGCCCTGATCTGTTGGTGAAGAGCCTGGTGCCCCCGCAAAAAGGCTCTAAAAAAACAGTGGGATAGGGTTTAGGGCTCAGGGTTTATGGTTGGGATTTCACATGCAAACCCTCCCCAAACCCTAAACCCTAAACCCTAAACCCTAAACCCTAAACCCTAAACCCCAGAGGGGTTTAGGGTTGTAG